GCATATCACAGATGCACAAAGTCTCCACCCTCTTGGCGGTGATCTCAGCCCCCTAATTCTGAAGGCTAAGGCAAATCCTGGAACAGCCTGTGTGTCAATCAAGCAGCTGTTCAGGATTAATACCCCCTTTTAGCCTCTTTAGGTCTAAGCACCTTGACTTTTCTTTCTGTCCTTCCTCTTTCCTTTCATCCTGTACTTCTTACCTCTTCTTCCACCCCACACCAAATTTCTGGCTTTCGGGAGGGAATTGAGATTGTTCACTGGGAGCTACAAATGGCTGGCTACTCCTTTCAGAGTTGCAGACACTATGAGAGGTTTCTGCTAAAAGACTAAAGCCCTGGGGCTGGAGTGATAGCACAGCCAGTAAGGCGGTTGCCTTGCACACGACCGACCCCCAACCCAGGTTCAATCCCCAGTATCCCATATGGTTCCCCGAGCTCTGCAGAGTAATTCCTGAGTGCAGAGCTAGGAGTATCCCCTGTGCATTGCTGGGTGTGACCCAAAAAGCAAAAATATAAAATAAAATAAGATAAAAATAAAATAAAATAATAAAAGACTAAAGCCTTGCTGGACCTCTTTTATATGTTCACCCATCAGAATTTTAGCAAGAATAAGTTGGACTTTCCTGACATGCCCACCAAGAAGCTTTAATTGGTATTTTTGCATTGGTGGTGGAGAATGTGCACTGGTGGAGGGTTGGGTGTTTGATCATTGTGTGATTATAACCCAAACATGAAAGGTTGTAACTATCTCACGGTGATTCATTAAAATTTAAAAATAAATAAATTTTTTTTTTAAAAAAAAAGACGCCCTCATTCCCTAAAATGTGAGGAAACACTCTTCGCACTTTCAGCACTGCTTCAATATTAAACAGGACATACATTACCTAAACAAGGTAGAAAACAAGCTGGGGGCTGGAGAGATAGTACAGTGGGTAAGGCACTTGCTTTGCATGCAGTTGACCTGGCACCACATACAGTCACCCAAGCCCTACCAGGAGTGATTCCTGAGCACAGAGTTAGAAGTAAGCCCTGAGCACCATCAGGTATATCCCCAAAACTAAATCCAATAAAAATAAATTTAAAAATAAGAAAAAAAGAATCAGTCAAAAGAGCTAGTACAGGGATAAAGGGATTACCTTGCCTCTCATTAACCAAGTTCAAATCTCCACCATCAGCATCATATCTGTTTCCCTGAGCACCGCTGGGGGTTACTCTTGAACACAGAGCCAGGAAATCTCCCTGTTCACTGCCCAGCATAGTGCAAAGTTAAAAAAATAAAATAAAAAACAGGGGCCAGAGAGATAGTACAGAGATTAAGTCGCCTGCCTTACGTGTGGCTGACCCCAAGAATGGAACTAGAGTCACTCCTGAGCACCACCAGGTCTAGATCCAAAACCCAAAGTACTGCAGTACTTTCCCCTCCACCCTCACCCACCTCCCAAAAGAATCAAAACTGAGAACTAAAAAATATTTAAATGCTTGAAGTCTAATTAGATAACTCTATAGCATGAGCCAATACAACAATGCTACACACACACACACACACACACACACACAAACACACCACATACACACAAAACAGAATATAAATATTTAAACACTGGAGGTGGCTCAAAGGACTGGTGCATGTCCCCTCCATGCAGGGGACCTAGGGTTAATCTCTGTGCCAAATGGTACCACCAGGAACTGGAAGTGGTACCTGAGCACCGCAGAGCATGGTCCTCTCCAAAACACAAACAAAAATCTCTAAACACTACAGTAATGACTATTTAAAAATGTGTGTAGTTTGGGTTTTTTTCTTTGGGGGGGTACACCCAGCAACGCTCAGGGGTTACTCCTGGATCTGCACTAAGGAATTACCCCTGGCTATGCTTGGGGGACAGTATGGGATGTCTGGGATCAAACCAGAGTCAGCTGCATACAAGGAAGACACCCTACCACTGTACTATTCCTCCAGTCCCAAAATGTGTGTAGTTTAAATGGTAAGATCAGGCTGAATTTTTTTCTTGTTTCAATTCATATATATGTAAAGGTAAAGGTAAAGGCCCTCCCGTTGATCATCGATTTGCTCGAGCGGGCCCAGTAACGTCTCCATTGGAGACTTTGTTGTTACTGTGTCTGGCATATCGAATACTCTCGGTAGCTTGCCGGGCTCTCCGAGAGGGGCGGAGGAATCGAACTCAGGTCGGCCATGTTGGCTGTGTGCAAGGCAAACGCCCTACCCGCTGTGCTTTCGCTCCAGTATGTATGTATATATGTAATTTATTTCTGGAAATATTTATCTATTGTTTGTAATATGCCAGAGATTGTACTGTGCCTTAGATTTATAGGATGAAAAGTAGCTACTGTCTTCAGGCATCCACTATGCTGCTTTAAAGTGTTATTTTAAAATGGAACTTAAAACTCATGAGGATGAGATAGTTTTGAGTCAAATGCATTGCAAGAATAGCCCAAGAGAGAGTCAAACACAACTTCAATGAGCCTTTTGTTTGTTTTGAGGTGAGTATTCATGGTTGTGGTTTGGTTTCTTTTGTGTATGTGTGGTGGGGGCGGGGGGGGGGAGGGGTGGCAGGTGAGGATGGTTCTAGTTTTGTTCTGTTTTGTTGGTTTTCAGCACTGAGGACTTAGCTTGATGTAGTCTAAAAACACAAACAGAGGGCGGGAGCAAGAGTACCCCAGGTAGAGTGTTTGCCTTGCGTGTGGCAGAAGAGGCTTTGATCCTTAGCACCACTTATGGTCCACTGAGCACTACCATGAGTGCTCTCTGAGTGCAGTTGGGAGTAAGCCCTGGGTATTGCCAGGTGTGGCTCCAAAACAGAACAGAACCAAAAACAGAAAACAAAAAAATGTGCACATGCCACAAGCAGGAAGTGTAATCCCTAGTGAGCACATGCTGTGAGCCCTACTAGTATGTGCCACACCAAGATCATGAGCCTTAGCACGCACGGGGCAAGCACCATGGCTAACGGAGTGTATGGCCCCGTGAGCACTGCAGCCAGGCATGCGTGCAATACCAGTCTTTATGACATCAGTCCGGAAGGGAATCTGGGAGAGTAGGAGGACCGGAGGTGACACAGGGGCATGGGTGGGGTGTTTGGGCACTTTGGTGATACTGAGGTGACTGTATACAGCAATACCATAAATGTCAACGTTGTAAACACGTAAATATAGAAATAAATAATTTTTTTTTTTTTTTGCTTTTTGGGTCACACCTGGCGATGCTCAGGTGTTACTCCTGGCTCATGCACTCAGAAATTACTCCTGGCAGTTCTCGGGGGATCATATGGGATGCTGGGAACTGAACCCAGGTTAGCTCCGTGCAAGGCAAACGCCCTACCCACTCTGCTATCACTCTAGCCCCAGTAATAATAAATTTTTTAAATGAAGGGAAGGGGAGGAAAGAAGCTAATAAACTAAATAAACAATTAAGCTATTCACTGACAGTACTTGACAGTTCCACCACCATCAATGCAGCATATTTCAAATTCTGTACCCCCAAATTGAACTACCACTGTGCCTCTCTGTCCCTCCAGATCCTCCAGATTCAAGCCTTGTTTTCTGATTGTGTTATGGCCATTACCACCATCCAGTTTCCTCAGACTGAATTCTGGGCACCAACACTTTTTTACCCACCTTTGCCTCTTTGTCTCTTCTTTGTCCCATAATTAGTACATCTCCTCCACTGCAACTAGTGACATCAAGCCCTCCTGCACAATGACACTTCTGGTAGGTCCCCTTTACACTGAGCTCCCATATGTCACAGCCTTCCCCATTGGAAAGACTCCAGCTCTCTGTCCAGTCTGTCCTATCTGCTCTCATTCCCAATTTTCCTCGATCCCAGGGCAAACTCCAGCTGGCAAATTCCCAGGCCTTTCCACTTCCCCAGGGAACCCATCTCCTGTTCTCAGAGGCTGTGCTAACCCATGGTGCCTTTCTGTGGATTTTTTTTTTAAATTGACATTGAATTAAACACCCCTCCAATGTGTTGCTATAGCTACTAATGCTGTTCATGCCATTATATTGTCATTTGGTTTTGATTTATACAAATACCAACTGAAATTGATGAATTTTAAAGAAAGGTTTCCTTAACATTTTAAGGAAAGGATCTTTAAGTAAAAGAAGAGAGAGAGGAGGGAGGAATGAAGGAATGATGAAAGGAGGGAGGGAGAGAGACACAGAGAAAGAGACAGACACAGTGAGGTGAGAAAGAGAAGGAAAGAAGGAAGGAAAGAAAGAAGGAAGGAAGGAAGGAAGGAAGGAAGGAAGGAAGGAAGGAAGGAAGGAAGGGAGGGAAGAAGGAAGGAAGGAAGGAAGGAAGGAAGGAAGGAAGGAAGGAAGGAAGGAAGGGAAGAAGGAAGGAAGGAAGGAAGGAAGGAAGGAAGGAAGGAAGGAAGGAAGGAAGGAAGGGAAGAAGGAAGGAAGGAAGGGAGGGAGGGAGGGAAATAGGGAGGGAGGGAAACAGGGAGGGAGGGAGGGAAACAGGGAGAAAGAAAGGAAGGAGGAAGGAAGGAAGGAAGGAAGGAAGGAAGGAAGGAAGGTTGGTTTTTTCCTTAATCTTTATGTTTCAAGCATAGAACAGGCACTACATGAATGTTGGTTGAATTAATCCATTCATTTGTCAAAACTCAACAAATACTTAAAAAGAATCTCTAAGTTTTTCTCATCATGCTACTAATTTTTTAAACGAACATCCATAACCAGACAAATCAATAAATATCATACAGGTCTACTCTTGAAAATACTATAATCAAGGGTCTAAGGCACTTAGGTGCCTTGCACAATTGCCTTGCACATGGTCAACCCAGGTTCAATACCCCATCACTCCATATGGTCCCCGGAACACAGCCAGGAGTGATTCCTGAGTGCAGACAGGAGTAAGCCCTGAGCACTGCCAGATATGAACCTTTCCCACTGCCAAAGAAAAAAAGAAAAAATTGCTGTAACCCCAGTGTATTAGAAACAAACATCAGTTATGGAAGCTCTGAAGTATATACTAACCCAAGCTATCTTCTAGAACATAGGGAATGGTATGCGGCCATCTATATTTATCTCCAATGATGGAATTTCTATCTTGTTTCTGTTGAAAAAAAATGAAAGAAATAATTAAATGTACCAGATAACTAAATGAATTATGAAACTATGAATAGTTAATATCGAAATAAATTATGGTAGGGTTAGGGGCTGGAGAGATAGCACAGCGGTAGGGCGTTTGCCTTGCACGCAGCCAACATGGCCGACCCGAGTTCGATTCCTCCGCCCCTCTCGGAGAGCCCGGCAAGCTGCCGAGAGTATCTCGCCCGCACGGCAGAGCCTGGCAAGCTCCCCGTGACGTATTCGATATGCCAGACACAGTAACAACAAAGTCTCCAATGGAGACGTTACTGGGCCCGCTCGAGAAAATCGATGATCAACGGGAGGGCCTTATTTTAGGGTTAGAGATATAGTACCTGAGGTAAGGCATGCTGGTTGATTTGCATGCTGGTTAAACTCCAGGCACCGCATATGATCCCATGAGCTAAGGGGTCACTTATCCCACCAGGGGTCACTCCTTAGCACTGAGCACAGCTGTGTGCAAGGAAGGAAGGAAGGAAGGAAGGAAGGAAGGAAGGAAGGAAGGAAGGAAGGAAGGAATTTAAATCTTTCCAGGCAGCTTAAACAAACTACATGTGCATATGTATCCTGCTTTTTAATCATATTACGACAATTTCTAGAACGAAATCATTACTGCCTGCTGTTAAAAGAAAGTGATAGCAAAATGTCTATCATCTTGATTTCAAAATATTAGAAAATTAGCACATGCACTAGATGAAAGGTGTAAAACTCTTTTCAAGAACTTGAGATGTTTATAATAGAAATCAAATACCATTTTATTTGTATATTCAAACTGTGAGCAGGATGAATACTTCTGGAGAATAACATAAGAACAGAACAATTCATAATAAAGTACCAAGGTCTTTACTTTTATGGTGCTAATATCTTGTGGAAAAGCAAACATTTCACAAGCACCCAAGTTTAAACAAGATAAACTTAACTGTAGTAGAGAAAATGAAGAGGGAGGTGTGGACAAAAGCAAAAGGAAGGGGAGTCCCATTTGATACAGTGACTAATAGGGCTGGAGCAATAGCACAGCGGGTAGGGCATTTGCCTTGCACACGGCCGACCTGGCCAACTCCAGTTCGATTCCTTCGCCCCTCTCAGAAAGTGCGGCAACCTACTGAGAGTATCTCACCTGCATGGCAAAGCCTGGCAAGCTACCCATGATGTATTCAATATGCCAAACACAGTAAAAACAAGTCTCACAATGGAGACATTACTGGGCCCGCTCAAGCAAATCAATGAACAATGGGAGGACAGTGCTACAGTGCTACAGACTAATAGACTAATAGACTAAATAAGCTCTTAACAAGGATGGATTTGCAATGAAAGAACAATATAAGAAAGGGCCAGACTTTCCTATACCAAACAGTGAGAGAGAAGAAAGCAACATGAAAAAAACAATCCCGTTCACAATTGTGCCCCAGAAAATCAAGTACCTAGGAAGCAGCTTAACTAAGGAAGTAAAAGACCTGTACAAAGAAAACTACAAAACGCTACTTCAGGAAATAAAAGAGGACAGGAGGAAATGGAAAGATATCCCCTGCTCATGGATCAGGAGACTTAACATTGTCAAAATGGCAATACTACCGAAAGCATTATATAAATTCAATGCAATCCCTATAAAGATACCCATGACATTCTTCAAAGAAATGGAGCAAACACTCCTGAAATTTATATGGAACAATAAGCCCCCACGAATAGCTAAAGCAATTCTTGGGAAAAAGAAAATGGGAGGAATCAACCTCCCGAACTTCAAACTGTTCTACAAAGCAGTAATAATTAAAACAGCATGGTACTGGAACAAAGGCAGAACTACAGGCCAATGGAACAGGGTTGAATACACTGACATCTCCCCTCAATCATATGATCTTCTAATCTTTGATAAAGGTGCAAGTAATGTGAAGTGGAGTAAGGAAAGCCTCTTTAACAAATTGTGCTGGCATCACTGGATGGCTACATGCAAAAAAATGGGCTCAGAACTCTGCCTAACATCATGTACAAAAGTAAGATCAAAATGGATTAAAGACCTCAACATCAGACCAGAAACCATAAGGTACATTGAAGACAAAGTTGGCAAAACCCTCCATAACATTGAAGCTAATGGTATCTTCAAAGATGCCATGCCACTGGCCGAGCAAGTGAAAACAGAGATAGATAAATGGGACTATTTTAACCTAAGAAGCTTCTGCACCTCCAAAGAAACAGTGACCAAAATATAAAGACAGCCTACAGAATGGGAAAGGATATTCGCCGAATACACATCTGACAAGGGGTTGATATCCAGGATATACAAAATACTGGTTAAACTCCACAAGAAGAAAACACCCAACCCCATCCAAAAATGGGGCAATGAAATGAAAAGAAACTTTCTCAAAGAAGAAATTCGAATGGCAAAAAAGCACATGAGAAAATGCTCTACATCATTAATCATCAGGGAGATGCAGATCAAAACCACAATGAGATACCATCTCACACCTCAGAGACTGGCCCACATTCAAAAGAACAAAAGCAACCAATGCTGGCGTGGATGTGGCGAGAAAGGGACACTCCTTCACTGTTGGTGGGAATGCCGACTGGCTCAGCCCTTCTGGAAAACAGTATGGACGATTCTCAAAAAATTAGAAATTGAGCTCCCATTTGACCCAGCAATACCACTCCTGGGAATATATCCCAGAGAGGCAAAAATGTATAGTCGAAGTGACATCTGCACTTCTATGGTCATTGCTGCACTATTCACAATAGCCAAAATCTGGAAAATTCTGAGAGCCCGAGAACAGATGACTGGTTAAAGAAACTTTGGTACATCTACACAATGGAGTACTATGTAGCTATTAGAAAGGATGAGGTCATGAAATTTACATACAAGTGGTACAACATGGAAAGTATCATGATAAGCGAAATGAGTCAGAAAGAGAGGGATAGACATAGAAAGATTGCATTCATCTGGGGGATATAAATTAACAAAATATGAGATTAATACCCAAGAATAGCTGAGATCAGCACCAGGAGGATTACTCCATAGCTTAGTGGCCAGCCGGGCATTCTAGAGAAAAGGGCAGCTCAGATACAGAAGGGAGCACCAAATAAAGGGTGTTTGGAGGATCCTCCCAGGAGGGGAGATGCATGTCGAAAATAGACTATGGACTGAACATGTTTGCCACTCAATGCCTCTTTTGCAGACCACAACACCCAAAAGGAGAGAGAGAACACAGGGGATTGCCCTGCCACAGAGGCAGGGGGGGATGGGGGAATGGGGGTGGGGGGGATATTATCCATGGTGGTGGAAAATGGGCACTGGTGGAGGGATGGGTATCTGATCATTGTATAATCAAAACCCAAGCACAAAAATTGTAAAACTACAACTGTACCTCATGGTGTTTCACTAATAATATATATATATATATATATATATATATATATATAAAAGAAAGGGCCAGAGCAGAAAGCGCCCAAGGGAGGTTATTTAATCAGGGCCCTGGGGTCTTCAAGGGCTCTGTATGTTCAGAGAGCAAACCATGGCTACAGAGCAGCTCCAGTCTGCAAAGCTCTCCCCTGAGCTAGTTCCCTGTGCCTCAAATATGTTTTGATGTCAGTAGCCTAAGGAGTAATGGGAGGAGAAAGAGAAGAGAGGGGAGGGGAGGGGAGAGGAAGATGGAGAAGGGAGTAAGAAGAGAAGGGAGACAGTGGAAATTAAATTATTCAAAGACTTGAAGGCTGTAGATAACTTGAATACTATTATATATACAATAGGAAGCTGTTAAGGCTGTTCAATCAGGAAATGAAATGACATTATTGCCTATTTAATAGATCACTTTAGGGCCAGAGAGATAGTTCCAGGAGCTGAGCACATGCATGGAATACTGGAGGCCTAGTGTCAATCACTGCACCACACGGTCCCCCCGACTCTGCAGGGAGCAATCCAGAGTCAGAGCTGTGCTGTGGAGGATGGGAACAGGGATTAGGATTTTGCTTCTATTTCAACATTTGAAACAGACAAATTGGGTCAGAAGTGGGATTGGCTGAGGCATATACTGGGGTTAGAAATGATGGTGTCGCGCATAGAGTCAATGGTCAGATGGGGGAGAAGAGGAAGAGGTGAATTTGTGTCTTACTCAGTAGAGTGGGGTGTGGGATTAGTGATGATTCATCCTAAGAGGGAAAAACAGGGAGAAATAGTTTGCGTGGAAATCAGAGTTGGGTTTGACATCTTATCGATATTTAAATGAAGTGGAAAAAAGGCACTTGGACAGACCAGAAAGGATTAAAGTGGATACTTAAGCTTATCACCATAGATATGGCATTAAAATCTCTAGGGCAGGTGAGATTAAAAAAGAAGAAGAAGAAGAAGAAATTGGAGTAGAGGGGCAGGGGGAAGCAGGCCCAGGAATTGGCGGATATAGCTCAAAAAGCTAGGGAATCTGCTTGGGATACACAAGGCCCTGAGTTTGATCCTCACCGCGTGGGAAACATCAAATACTGCCCTATATGGCCCCAGTGGCTCCTAGCACTGATGAGCCCAAGGAGCACATCATCAGGCCCAGCAGTGCAAAGTCTGCCACACATTTAGTCAAGTATCTCTGGGAGTGACCAAAGAGCCCTTAGTGCAAGCTTGGGGACCCCCCGCTCCCACCCCACCACCAAAAAATAAGCAAACTTTGGACTAAACCTTAAACCCTATATCCCTGTTTCTTGAAGTATGGGATTATGAGGGATGTAAATTGCATGGAAACAATCATGAATATGGCAACCAAGTCTTCTATGCTCTATAAACTCCATGTAACTATGTCCATCAGTGTGCGTAAGAGAGAAGAAACACCACTTAAGTAGGACATTTCAGGGAACCTCTCTGGACAATAATATTCCTAGTTGAGATCAAAGTAGTAATCACAAATTCTCTTTCTGGGGCCAGAGCAATAGTACAATGGGTAGAGTGCTTGCCTTGCATGTAGGTGACTCAGGTTGGATCCCCAACATCCCACATGATCCCCCAAGCACTTCCAGGAGTAATTCCTGGGTGCAGAGCCAGAAGTAAGACCTAAGTGTCACTGGGTATGTGACCCATAAATGAAAACAACAAAACAAAAATTATTTTTCTTATGGATAAAAGCCTGATCCGTTGAAGATATTTGCAAATTCAGCTTAATTTTGCTTCTACTAGATCAGATAGATTTCATTCAAAAATTAACATACTGACCTAACTGAACCTCATCAAGCTGTCAAGTCCTCCCAGGAAGATCAATCTCTGGACTCAGAACTTTGCAGCCTTCTCAGAATGAGGGCGGGAAGATTCCCTTCCTGCTGGAAGACCACCAGCCTCCACCCACACTTGACACCCTCCAGCGTAGAAACAGGCCAGCTCCACAACTGAACCTCATCAAGCTACCAAGCCACCAAATCACCTCACCTCCACAGCTCCTGTAGTGTGGCATATTCAGCCCTGTGACACCTCCAAATTTCACAGTACTGACATCCCAGTAAGAGAAGAGCAAATTTGTTGGGAAAGTTGCACAGAAGCCCACCTAGCTCTTTGGGCAAAAACAGTTACACAGAAGGCCCAACTAGCACCAGCCAGCTCAGTAAACCTCAACCTCAGGCAATGAGTCTAGTAACACCATTGTGAGAAATAACAATTATCACAAATTGACTTCTATTAATCTGTCACTGTCACTGTCCTCTCATTGTTCATCGATTTGCTCAAGCGGGCCCAGTAACTTTGTGAGACTTGTTGTTACTGTTTGGCATATCGAATATGTCACGGGTAGTTTGCCAGGCTTTGCCGTGCTGGTGAGATATTCTTGGTAGATGTTCAGGCTCTCTGAAAGGGACAGAGGAATCGAAGGCGGAGGAATCAAACTCTTGTCAGTCTGGTTGGCTGCATGCAAGGCAAACACCCTACCTGTTATGCTATCGCTCCAGTCCTCTATTAATCTATTTTTGATAATTCCATTTGTCATTTTTGTTATAACAAGCAATTGTGCCTGCTAAGGGGGCAGACATAAGGCTATGTGAGAACTGGAGACATTGGTGAAGGGAAGGTCACGTTGGTGGTGGGATTGTTACTGGAACACTGAATGCCTGAAACAAGTGTATTATGGGTGCTGGAGTGATAGCACAGTGGATAAGATGTTTGCCTTGCATGCAACAGACCAGAGTTCAATTCCCAGCATCCCATATGGTCCCCTGAGCACCGCCGGGAGTGATTCCTGAGTGCAAAGCTAGGAGTAACCCCTGAGCATTGCCAGGTGTGACCCAAAAAGGAGGGAAAAAAAACAAAATGAAGCAACTGTATTATGAATAACTTTGCAAATCACAAATTTTTAATTAAAAAAATAAAATTAAAATGTCATACTACTCGAAAAATGAAAACCAACTACCTGAATAAGATTGATAAGATTGATAAATATGAGTGACAATATGACTTTAGTCACATGGAAATCTGAATAATGATGATGAAGACACTATTATCTGACTCAGAGTGCAATGTATCCACTGAACTGTCACCATGGCTCTATATTTCAAGCAATAGTTGGTTCATAGCAAAGTTCATGCTTACGAATCATTTTTAGACACTGTATTCTAGCTTGTAGTGATTAACAGAATGTTCTTTCATTGTTTTAACTTACCTCATCAAGTTTGATGTCTCCCTCAAAAAGATCCAGTCCCAATTCTAAGAGGGAAGGTAAAATTTTCATTAGCAACATGGATTCAAACACCCCATTTAATAAAAGCTGTGAAAAAATAAAATCCACAAACCTTCATTGATATCAAATATGTCCTTGTCAATTCCAGCATCCACATCTTTGAATAAAGTAACAGAAAAACATAGTGAATGTTATGCTTATGAAAGAATATTTTAACCAATTGCAGAATTAAAAGTAAATCCATTTCTCTAGTCTCAGTTCAAAGTGATTATAAAGTGGGCCTGAAACAATAGGATAACAGGCGGAGTGTTTGCTTTGTGCAAAGCTGACCCAGGTTCAATCCCGGGCACCCCATTATGACCCCCTAAGCCTTCCAGGAATGATCGCCAAAGCAGTGCCAGGAGGAAACCCTGAGTAGCACTTGGGTTAGCCAAAAACAAACAAAAAGGTGATTATGAAGCTTTCTGATTCAACTTGTTGATCAATTGATTGATTGATTGATTGAGAATCTCTTATGAGCTAAATTTGGAGCTAGGAAAATTTTGCCTTTTTACTCTTACCCTATTCTTGTCCCTTGATTGCCAAACGATTTCAGATAAGAAATTGATAATTTTTTATATTAAGTTTAATTTGGAAGACTAACATAGATGACTAATACACAGAAATTATATATTTAAATTGGCCAAATCCAATCTCCCTATATATCTATATTTTTGGTGATCAGCTTATCTTGGAACTTTCAAACAAAATACTAATTGGAATATGGATTATTCTTTTAAGTTGCAACAGACTAGAGAATATGGCCAAAATCCAAGTGTACTACTGAATAGATTATCTGATTTGACATAAAAATAGGAAAATAATTATAATAGCACAATTCTATGTAATATCTATGCATCGATTACAATGTTCAACTTTCCTATAATAGCAAGATTTTATGTAATATCTATGCATCGATTACTGTGTTTGACTTTCCTATACCGCCATCTATTTTTCTGTTGGGTAAGTGAAACCACAGAACAAGAGCACTAAATTTTTCCTCAAAAAATCCAAAGAAGTCAGTGTTTGTTTAAATGCTGATCAAACTTCAAAGAAATTATGCATAGTGCTTGGCAATAAATTGTCCTAAATTTTTTGGTTCTGTTTTCTATTATCCAAATAACGACCTTTAGCTGTAACTGCCAGCAAAATTCAAAATAAACTCACCAAAATTTTCTGAAGTTGACTGAGAAACAAACATAAAAGATATATATTAGTATCTTATGATATAAATTATATATTAGTATCTTTATGATATAATGGTTTTCTTTATTTATTAATATTTAGCCATTTTTCTGTTGCTTTCATCATATTCAGAATTATTTTAGCATATATCCAAGACTTCTATGCTTGAGTTTAAAATAACTTTTTGACCAAAGGGTTTTCTCATTTTATATAATAATGAAACTGGCTGGTATATAAAAATAAAAGTGCAAGACACACAAAAATAAGTGCCCAGATTGAAATATGACTGTATTTCAATGGGGAAAATGAAATTAATTAGAGAAGTATCTTAGTAATACTAGAAAGAAAAACCGCAAGTGACCATTTGACAGCAAATCTGAGTAATAGTCCAGATTCTACCAACACATAGCAAAGGTGAAACAGAAGACTCTGACTTTCAAATAAATATTTGCTTTAAATGTAATTTTCTAAAGGATTCATGGAGCAAAATTTTGTCAGGATGGTTATTTGAGGTTATAGCAGTGCTTGGAGGCTACTCCTGGTTCTCTACTCAGGAGTGACCCCTCAGTGGTCATGGGACCATATGTGATGCTAGGGAGTAGAACAAGGGTTGCCCGAATGAAATATATCTCTCTGGCCCCTTAGAGCAATAATTTGAAAACAAAATTATTAAGACCAGAGAACTCAGTAGGAGCACTTGTTTTGCATACAGCAGGCCAAGATTCAATCTCTGGCAGGAGGTGACTCCTGTGCATGGAGCTGGGGGCAATCCTTGAGCACCACTGGTGGTGACTTCAAAATTGAAATAAGTAAATAAATATTTCTTTACAATATTGAGATGCTATTATAATTCACAAAAATCCTTTCAAAAGAACTGTATTCAAGAACTCATCAATCATAACTTAGTTTGTAGTTTTTTAATTTTCTTTGTGGTGCCAGGAATCAATTAAATCCAGAGCCTCGCCACCCCACCCAATCATAGTTTCTTATTCCTCCCAAGTTACTGCCTTCAAAAACAAAACAAACGTTTAAGGGAGGGGAAATAATCGACTATACACTATAATTTCCTTTTTTGGGGAGGGTCATACCCAGAGATGCTCAGGGGTTGCTTCTGGCTCTGCACTCAGGAATTACTCCTGGCAGTGCTTAGGGGACCACAGGGGATGCCAGGGATAGAACCCAGGTCAGCCGCATGCAAGGCAAATGCCTTACCTGCTGTACTATTGCTCCAGCCCCATAAGTTCCTTTTTTAAAAAACTAAAAATAGAAGCTTCACAGGTAACCAAATGAAATCCAGACTGTGCTCAATGGGGAAAATGAAGTAAATTAGAGAAGTGTCTTAGTATAACTAGAACAAAAAACTACAGTTCACTCTTTGACAGTAAATCTGGGTAAGAGTCTAGATTCTACGCAACTCATAGCAAGTTCAATTTACCTCCTAATTTTCAGACTATCTGAAAAATATGGCCAGTGTCTGCCTTGCATGAATATTCTGAGGATAATATTATCAGGAGGAAAGAACTTTGTAGTTATATTAAAGTTTCATGAAAGTATAAGGCATAATTATACTTAAATATGACTTATATACTTAAATAATAATATTATTTGGAATCTTTGGCCAGCAGTAAGAATGAATGAATGATTCACTTTTTTTATACTAATGAGTAGTGGACTGTCTCACATCTTAGCTACACATAGGCACACACTCACAGACAAATGTCAAGCACCAGTTGAAAACAGCTATCAAGTACTGGCTCAAATTTTTAATATCTTAACTGATATCTCTTAGTATTATGAGATGAATGATACCACTGTAGATCATCCTGTCCATAGAATATGTGCTCAATACTCCTTATTACTGTTCTTATAAAAGCCAACTATAGATTTATTCCCAGACATTTGAAACTTATTAAACCTTGAGTTGCTTACTGTATACACTCCCTGTCACTGTGAAAGATGAATCAAAACTAATAAAGAAACAAAAAAAAAAATCCCACGCATGCTAAAAAACTTTCTAAGCATTTGCTGTACTAGTGACATTCATCATTCACTTCTTTAGTTCCTCTAACAACAGCCTTCTTTTCATTCAGCAGTAAACGAATGGCATTATTTCACGTTTCCCATTTAATCAAAAGAAAATTTGGAGTAGTAGGTGCCGCACTCCTGAGAAGTAGAATCTCTGAATCCCTGCTCCCCACCACTCCCACTGCACCCCAATAAGCCTGCTCCCTATTTTTAAAAAGTGAAGGTAGGGGCTGGAGCAATAGTATAGCAGGTAGAGTGCTTGTCTTGCATGCAGCCCACCTGGGTTCGATCCCTGGCATCCCACATTGTCCCCTGAGCACTACCAGGAATGATTCCTGAGTGCAGAGCAGGAGTAACCCCTGAGCATCGCTGGTTTTGACCCAAAAAGCCAAAAAAGGGGGGGGGATGAAGGGGGAAAAAAGAAGACTTGTTACATAACAATAAAACTGAAATAAAATAAATTTTATATCAACAGATCTGAAACTTCAGTTGACTTCTCATTTCTTACACCCTGCTCACCCCCACCTTCCCCCTAAAATATGTTCTTAGAGTATTATGTTGCAACATCTGAAAATCTTAAAAGGAACAAACAGTCTGCTCTTTAAGGAACAGTCAGCATCAGTGCCGGAGAGATACTACAGGAAGTAAAGTGTTTTCCTTGTATGCAGTAGTTCTATACCTGTAACCACCTATACTCCACAGAGCACCACCAAGAATCATTCCTGATCACACAGCCAGGAGCAAACATTGAGCATGGCTGAGTGTGCCCTCTCCCTGCTAAATAAATAAATAAATAAAAAGAAGTGTATCAACTGCCCCCAATTGTCCAATTATTTTCCATTTATTATTTTCTTACCAAGCCAGAAGCCACTAGAGTAGCAAAGAGCAGAAGGAAAGGCAGACCCCGCAAATCCATGCTGTCACAACCAGTTGGGAGTTGCAAACTAAGAAATACAGGTGATCATTTGCTTTTTAAAAGGCAAACATCATAACATATAGCCTTTGATCTCAGTGATCAATCTTGCATGAAAGCTTTCTGTGATATCTCCAGTCAAGGAGTTAAAGTCCAGGGGCCAGAGCAATAATACAGCAGGTAAGGCCTTTGCCTTGCACATAGTTGATCTGGCTTGGATTCCCGGCATCTGATATGGTCCCCTGATCACCTCCTGATTCTACCAACAATTCCTGAGTGCTGAGCCAGGTGTGGCCCAAAGAACAAACAAACAAAAAACAATATTAATGATGAAGAGTTAAAGTCCAGTAGCCAGGGCCCAGGGAGACAGCTCAAAGGGACCATTAAATCCTCTGCATGCAGAAACCTCAAGTTCAATCCACCAGTCCCCAAACACTCCTGGGTATGTCCTCTCCACCAAAAAGCAAAGAAACAAAAGGCAATAATAAAAATTTTTAATTCCCATCTTTCAAAGAGAAACATTTTTTATGCTGGCTACCATCTAAACCCGACAATATTTCCAGTTACCTCCTCTGATTTTTATTGATCATTTTATAGAAAATTATTGAGTTACAAAATCAATTAATGAATCGGAAGTATGAGTTTTAGGACATGGATCGTGATCTCCCTTTAACAAAAAAGATATTCCAGAGACTGCAAACAGCAAGCAAGGTTTATTGTAAGACTGGCTAGCTAGGGTCAAGCCACCTACACAGACACGCAGTTCAGATAGGTGAGGCAAGACCCCAAACTTCTTCAAAGGGAATCTTATATAGGCCTTCACTGGCCATTACAGCAAACCCCACGCATTTCATAGCCAATAGATTTGTAACAACATATACTTTCTTAACCAATCCATTTAAAAGTACATCACTCCTTAGCCTGTATATTCAAAGATCAGCATTTACGTACATAGGCATTGTGGCTAGTGGGCATCTGGTAACTCAGACATTTGGTTATTTTTTATGTTTACCTGGCTCCCTTTGATTCTCAGCTCATGGCTCCTGCATTCTGGTGGAGGCAGATAAGGGAAAAGTTCCTAACAGAGGTAACAGATAAGGAAGGCCACACAAATGGTTTCCAAATTTACATCCCAGCAAGGAAGAGTCAGCAAATGGTTTCAGAATTTACATCCCAATAAGGAAGGGCTTAGGAATGGTTTCACTCTAAAACTCTACTAGGGAGGGAGCAGGAAAAGGAGAGTTACTAATTAGTAGAGTTTTAACTCTGTAATCTGGGGTCCCAAGGGACCTTACATGAGTGGATATGTAATATTCAAAAAGGAAGAAAATAGCAGCATATTTTATTTCTGAAAATTTCCATCAAATGCCCACACGGTAGAGTCTGGCAAACTCCCCGTGGCGTACCCAATATGCCAAATACCAGTAACAATGATGGGTCTCATTCTCCTAACTCTGAAAGAGCCTTGAATATGGCTTTTTAAAAAAAAAATCTCAGGGCTAGGACAAAGGAGACGTTACTGGGGCCTGCTCGAGGCAATTGACGAACAACAGGATGGTCATGATCGTGATCCCATCAAACAAACACAAGTAAGAGCTGAGTAAAAAGGCTAAGAATGAGATGGCACAAAGACTGAATAGCAGGTCTTGCATGCGTCAGTTCAAGTTCAATCCACAGCATCAGTGATTGCAGCCCCCATGAACCCAAGGACCATGAAGGTGGAAACAGGGGCAAAGATGGGGGGGGGGGGCAGGAGGCGAGCAAAACAGGCTGAGCATATGCTTTGCATTCTAAAGGCCAGCATCTTTCCCCAGCAACCCCTGTTCCCACAGCACTTCCAGGAGGGTCTAATCAGCTAGGAGCAGCCCCTGAATACTACAGGGTGTGGTCCCCAAACAAAACAACCAAACCAACAATAACCACTGGTTCTCTCATTAACTAATGTTCCCAGCTCTCTATTTTCTCTCACTCTCTGTCTTGTATGACTTCTCTTCATAGACAACTGTCTCTTTATTTGGAGGGGGAGGAGGGTGGAGGTGGGGGTAACACCCAGTAATGTTCAAGGGTCACTCCTGGCAATAGTACAGCGGGCAGGATATTTGCCTTGTGCCAGCCAACCCGGATTCAGGAATCACTCCTGACCATGTAAGATGTCAGGGATTGAACCCAGGTCGGCCGCTTGCAAATCAAAGGCCCTATTGCTCCAGCCCCAACAACTGGCTCTTTCAGTTTCTAGTTTCACTCAATTTATTATTGAAATATTCATTCCCCCCTCAATATTTCCTTTCAGCATGAAGAGTGGTCTCTGTTCCCATTGAATACTAGGGTAAAGGATATTAAGGACTTGTGGGAAATCCCAGAAGGCAGTTTGGGTGTTGTTCAATGTGGTTCTGGGATCACTCCCCGTGGTACATAGAGAACCATATAGTGCCTGTATCAACCCCAGACCTCCCACATGGCATGTAAAGCATATCCAATAGTTACCTCCTGGGGCTCCCAGCCCATTGTTTATATTATATTCCCAAAGCATTTGAACAGGTACTCAGGTACTCCATGAGCACCAACGAGTCATTCCCACCCTCCAAAGATGAAAGTTCAAGAAAAAGTTAGAAGTAGGTGTGTAAACACAAAAAGACAGCAGCAGACTATCTCTCCCTCCCACGTTCAGTAGTCTCAGGCCATTTCCCCCACTCCAGGGAGGTCGATGGCAATGAGCAGGCGAAGGAAGGAAACGAGGGCCAGGCTGGTTGGTCTTAGTTGAAGTTTATTCCAATCCTCTCTCCATTCACTCCTGTCTCTCCTCTACCTACCCCAGCCCACTCTTACAGTCTCATTATATCCCATAATAGAAATTTATGTCATGGAGGACCCAGGTTCTCTGAGACCTGTGACCCCCAGGTTCTCTCAGGCTCTTAGAGAGCCCTGAAAATCTCCTTATATGGATTATGGTACCTCTAAAGGGCACAATGCAGTGATGTCATTAAAAGGAATTACAGAAAGAACATTGAGGCAACAAAAACGTACATTGTAATTCTGGCCTCTGGAAAGAATATACAAAACCAAAACTGAAACTTTTCTTGGGCTACAAGCACTTGGATTTACGTTCCAAAAACTAGTCTGGCTAGATCCTGGAATCTATATCCCAAAGATCAGGCCTGTCTAGCACCTGAGATCTGCATGTCAAAGACCATCCAGGTTTCTGTGAGATAAGGAAAACTGCCTCACCACACATTCTAGGGAAAAGGGAGCTCAGATAGAGAAAGGAGCACCAAATAAAGGGTGTTGGGAGGATCCTCCCAGGGTGGGAGAAGCATGCTGAAAGTAGACTATAGACCAAACATGATTGTCACTCAATGCCTCTTTTGCAAACCACAGCACCCAAAAGGAGAGAGAAAACAAAAGGGAGTGCCCTGCCACAGAGGCAGGATGGGGTGGGGGGATGGGGGTGGGAGGGATATTGGGACCCATGGTGGTGGAGAATGGGCACTGGTGGAGGGATGGGTGTTTGATCATTGTATAATTGAAACCCAAGCACAAAAATGTGTAAATCTAAACAACTGTACCTCATGGTGTTTCACTAATAAAATTTTTTTTAAATTAAAAAAAAAAATAAGAAAACCGCCTCTTACAATATATTTAAATTATTTACTGAAGGCAGTTTGAAAGGGGAAAATGTTCAGCCTCATCCAAACTAGTCAGAACACACGAGAAATCTCGTCCATTTTCATGGGTCCCTATGTTCCTGCCTGTAGTGCGGTGCAGTCTACATGGGCTCACTCTGACAGCTCAGTCCAGTCCCAACAGGTTGGGGTAACAATTACACATAAATGTGGTCACAATCAATATGGAGAGTTCTTTCTCTCAGGGAAAGCCGCTTCTAGGACAGATTCTCATCTAGCAGATCGACCAATCCTAGAACAGAGAATTCCCCTGGGTGTGTTTCTCCTCTCCTTGTCCAACAAACATATGAGCCTACATAATATAAATCATTTTGTATAAAGTAAAAAATACTTTAAGCTTATAGAATTGCTCTCCTAGGGCCATCTCCATCTCAGACTACAGTGCTCAGGCCAGATAGTCTTTCCCATCTCTAGCAGGGTCCTAGTCTCATCGTTACTTTTGGATCATGACAGCATTTGTCTATGATCAAACTCCTAACTTATAGTTAAGAATCATCGCACTTTGGCCTGGCCCATCTCGATGCCAGGGTAGCACATAACTTACCCTCTTGCCCTGGTTCCATCTAGTCCCTCGTCAGGACCCTGCCTTTGGGGTGCTAAGAAGTGAGGGCAACTGAGGCTTAAGTTGAGTATGCAGATACCCGGGAATGAATAATATTCATTTATTTTTCATTTCATCATCCTTTTATTCATCGATTGCCTCGAGCAGGCCCCAGTAACATCTCTTTCATCCTAGCCCTGAGATTATATTCAAGGCTCTTTAGGAGAATGAGACCCATCATTGTTACTGGTATTTGGTATATTTGGTATGCCACGGGGAGTTTGCCAGACTCTGCCCTGTGGGCAGGCTACATTCGATAGCCTGCAAGTTTGTCCAAAGTACGAATGAGATCATAAGATGTCATAAAAAGATGTTCTGATAAGATGTCGCGTGGCCAATGTGCAGCTGCGCGGTTCTGGGAGCTGGATTTTATAGTCTCTGAGTCTTGGCTGTTGATGGGATTACACGGTGCCAGGGGGCCAGGTGGTGGGTGTGATCCCCGCCTACTGGAATTTGGAGGATCTGGGGGAGGATGCTTGACTCCAATCCGAGTAGGCTTGGAGATCTCGGCCCCAGAACCCGCGTGGCTTTGTCCCTCTGCCAGTACCTTCATGTGTGCGGAGAGTGGTCTCAGCATGGTGGTGGCTGGTCCTGGAGGTCTTCGACTGCCGGAGCCCTGGTCGGGGCGGGGAGGAAAGCTCAACCCGCTCCCCTCCAAGGGGCCCCGGCGAGGAACAGACAGGCGCGGGGGCAGAAGACTGCACTGTTCTCGTCCGGAAGCT